TATTATTAAATTGCTATGAGGGACACATGAGCATTAGATTGATGTTTGTTTTATAACAAATTCAAAATTCTTTTTTAAACAATTCAATTTTGTCTGTCACGGGGTTGAGAGTAAAAGGTGTCTAAATCTGAAAAAAAAAAAAAATGAAAATAATAAAAGATCTTTAATGCCTGAGGTGGGAAAATATGATTTTTTTTGGAGGTTTGATATGTGCCTAATGATGTGGGGTATTTAGAAAATGAATCATATGTAGTATCATAGGTATGTGGGTCAAAGACATTAAGATGTCCGCATCAAAAGAAATGTACAAAAGTGATTTTATGTCCATAGAAAGCACATTAAATGCAAGTAAAGTGTCTACTTTTAAGGTTTCAAATAAGTTTTTGGAGAATAAAATGTCAAAATTTGGTTGAAATAATGTTACATTGTCATTCCGTGTAACACAATATTTATGTAAAAATTCAAACAACATGCTTATTCTGACGTGTACATATTAAAATATATAAAAGAATAAGGGAGCATATTAAATTTGATTGTGTTATAAATGAGTAAAAAAAAAATTGTACTGACAAATGGGCAAAACCTAGGATAGTGACAAATTTAAAAAATGTAAAATAACAACTAATTAGTATTTGGGGTGAAAGTAATTAGTCTTTTAATGTGTCATAAATTGATTTTTGTTGTAAATATGCCTGACAAGATTGTTACACTGAATGACATTTTAGTGGGTCTCTTCTGTAAATCAGGGGAAAATTTATGATATTTATTTTTTGCTCAGAAAAACAAAAACAAAATTGCAATTAAATTAAACAGAATTTTTTTTATTTTTTGGGGGAAAAAAATAAATAAACGAAAAAGACTTTTTCGTCTTTGACCCATGTATATTTCAAGTTGAAATGTTACCGAATCCCAGGAATGACCCACATATATATATATATATATATTGTTGAATGCAACTGTGTGAATTCTAAAAATTACATTACAATCAATTAATCTGTCTAATATCGTCTTAAAGCCCTATTCGGACGGGATTAGTTGGAGTAATGTAATTTTACACCAGGACGTCTGTAATATTAATGGCCAGTTTGCAACGGATAAGAAATCTCAGTAAAACTACCAGAAGTGGGAGGAGTAACTCGATTTACGCACACCATCACTTTTCTGTCGTCAATGATCCTATTGACAGGAAATATTTCATATATTTCATGTGATATCAGGAAGCAATGTGGCACACCACACGGCTTCCTGTGCATACCACGTTGCTTCCTGGTAGGCCCACAACATTAAAGATCCAGCAGTATATTTCATTGTGCACATGGGGTACTTCTTTACTTCTGTGTGCACCAAACCCATCTTGAGTGTTTGCTGCTAAAAAGCTCATGTTTTAGTTTCATCCGACCATAAAACACAGTCCTGTTTGAAGTTCCAGTCGTGTCTGGCAAATTAATATGCTGGAGTTTATTTTTGGATGAGAGTGTTTTCTTTTTTTTCATGAAACCCTCACAAACAACATGTGCTGATGTAGGGGCTGTTTGATCTTTTTTTGTAGGCTTTCTGACCTCAAGACTCAACCATTTTCTGCAGTTCTCCAGCTGTGATCGTTCTCAGTCTGTAGCCACTCAAACTATCCTCCTCGCCTTGCTTTAAGACAAAATAGACCCACATCCTCTTACAAGCAGATTTGTAATATGTGACCCTGGACCACAAAACCAGTCTTAAAGGCACAATATGTAATTTTCGCCGGTAGAGAGCGCGTATTATCACATATCTTTAGTTGTTTGGAACTTCTTAATTATTGCCCTGATGTTGGAAATGGAATTGTTCAATGCTTTATCTCTTTTCTTACAGCCATTTTCTATTTTGTGAAGCTAAGCAATCTGCTGCTGCACATCAGAACTATATTCTTTGATTTTACTCATCGTGATCAATGATTAAGGGAATTTGGCCTTTGTGTTCCTCATATTTATATTCCTGTGAAACAGAAAGAGAATTTCATGCTCCTAGTCACCCTGGTGTGATAAAAATGCAAATATTAATGGGAATATACTTCAGAGATAATTTAATCATAAGAATTTCTAGGGGTACCAATAAGTGTGGCCATTGTGTATTAGAGAAAAATATTTATTTCATAATGTGATTCTCCCCCACTTTCACTTTTTTTTTTTTTTTTTAAAAAGGTTAGATTTTTTTGAAAATTTTGAATGAAAGATCAAATGGATAAACAATGCAGACTTATTTTCACAGCCCTCTTTGATCATATTTACCAAGGGTATGAATAATTCCATACATGTTTAAAACATAAAACAACATAGGCCTATATAAAAGGAATAAAATAGTCCTAAACGAAATATATTTATCTTAAATAATTAACATTAACAAAAAAAACAAAAAAAAAAACTTTTAAAGAAACCGAGAAGGCTGAAAGCGCTATTTGTTTTCTTTATTTAACAAAAGCATAATGTTTTATTTTTATTGTGAGTGTACACATACAAAAGTGGAGCGTTTACAGTAAAGGAAAAAATCCAAGCGATCGCGCCGGAGCCTCTCGAGGGAAACGTTTGTATTCGTGCCGAATGAGAGATGTATAAAGTTGCGTTTCAGTTTCTCTTTAAATAAATCCGTTTTGGCTAGACTTTTATATGTTGTTTATAACGAATGCCATCATACTTTGTGTTTTATTTTATAATTTGTATATATGAATTTGTACTATAATTTTATAGCTGCTTATATTTTCTGATTTTTATGTTCCTCTGTTCTGAATACTGTAAAATTTTAAGAATTTGTTGACAACTTCTGTTTTTTCTCTTAACACAATTTTGTCTGATATGTGTATAGCAGATTATTTTTAAATCCATGCAGCAAATGTTATATAAAATAGCTTGAAAAATGTAAAAATAAAATTACTTTATTGCATTACAGGTGCTTTTAAAGAACTTTTCACTGTAACTTTTATGGGTAGCTTAAATGTAAAAGATGGAAGCTCTAATCATCAAAATTAAAACAAAACTACATGTAATGAATCTAGAATATATGAAAGTTTCACTTTTTGAAATGTTACAAAAAAAACTACTTTCACGATATTCTAATTATTAATCAATTAAATAAATATCTTCAAGACCCTCCAAGCTGTTACTGCATCAGGGCGTACACACTGTATTTTATACCTTAATATTATGCGCACAATTGTTTTGATTATTTTATATATTTTAATCATTAAAGTGGCTTTAATACAAAACTACATCTAGATAGAATAAGTAATGTTTATTGGGTAAAAGAAGTACTGACTGTAATTGGTCATCATCTCCAGCAGATGTCAGTGTTGGTCGCATGTTACTGTGAGCACACTGCTGCATATTCTTGTTTTATTGTGTAATTATTTAGTTCTTTAATAAATAGAAAAGGCACATGGATTGTGATTATCTGTAATATGGAATACAATTCTTGTTTTGGTCGTTTATTTGGGTTTTCTTGTGGTTTAAGTTTAGGTTTCACTAAACACAAACCAGACACAAAGAGTCTCTGCCATGTTGAGGTTATATCAACAATTTCTTCTACAAAACTTGTTTTTAAGGCATCATAGTCGAGTGTAAAAAGACTTTTAATGCAGAAAATAACTTGAAAATTAAATAAATTTTTGTATTTACTTATAAAACACAATGTGCTTATAAAACTGTAACTAAAACCATACTACTCGAAATAATATATATATAAACTTTTTATTTCAGCTAGCTGCCAGGGCAACATTTATCATATTAATTTAGTTTAACTTGATGTAGGCTACTAATACACACACACACACACACACACATACAAACACACACTCACACTCACACACACTCTCTCTCTCTCTCACACACACACTCTCACTCACACACACTCTCTCTCTCTCTCACA